CATTCTGGATAAGTCCTGCCCCTGAAGGGCAGTAAAGCAGCTGAAGGGACATTTCATTTTAAGTAGATGAGTAGGTACCGTGTTAGGTTTCAGTCTGCTTGCTGTTACGCTGAACTCTGTCTGCAGGTATGATCTGAAGTAAAAAGAAATGTAAACAGTAAAATATAATAGTTCAGATTAAGGGGTTTAAAAGGTAGTGTAGCTTTTTAAAAATTATTTTTTTTTTTAATCTAGATTAAAAGGGGTTTGCTTTTGCTCTCTAATGCGTAAGAGTGCTCCAGGAGCTCTGGGAAGTTGTATGCTCGGGTACTTGAGGAAGTCCAGTTTCCATGTTAATTCAGTTTACGTTTCTCTTGGTTTCATTTCTCTTTTCAGTAATCAGTAAAACTTGCCTTTCTGTTTGGGGCAAAAATAATTTTCAAACCAAGTCTGCACATCCTGGCTGGCAGAGCTTGGAGTGACGTGACATGACTACGACTTTTCTAGGAAGAGGGACATTTTTAAGACGTTCCTTACTGAGGACTAGGACGTCAGCTGAAAGAACTGGGAAAATAGCTAAATACTTTGTGAGAGTGCTTGGTTGGGGTTTATTGTAGGGTTTTGGTTTGCTTAAAAGCTATAGAATTGGGCTGAAATAAGAAAGGGAATACAAGTGATGCACTAGACCTGCAGAGCAGCACACATACTATGCATACACAGTGTTATTTGTCAGCATTTTGGATAGGAATGTTGCTGTCTACGGGAAGAGGTTTCCTTTACAGGCTCTTTGGTTGTGGTGTTTCATTTTTCTGATGTGACAGTAGTAAGGGCCTGAATAACATTAAAGGGAAGGAGTCATGGGTGATTACTGGTCCTCCATTTTTCCTAGCAAAAAAGAATTGTATCACCATTAAAATAAGTGTCAGGAGTAAAATTCATCCTCACAGGCCCACTTACACTAATCAACGTTTGCAAGTGCTCCTCTATTAGTAGTGAGTCAGTTTTTTCTCTTTCTGCTCCATCTTTTCTTGTGTTTTTATGTTATTTTTAATTTTAGTTGCTAGTAAGTACTTCATCCATCATTAGGGTAATGCAGTCGATACACTTTATAGTGTGGCATTTTTTTTCCCCAGTACAGTTAAATGAGTGGAAACTTGAGCCATGGTTTTGGCAGAGACAGTGTATAAAAGCTAACCATTAGGCATTATTTTAAAAGTACAGGGTTATTTTTAAATATTTGTAAGATAATAAAACTCCTGCTTGCCACATAGTGCAAATCACTGGAGCGCAGTTTGGAGTATGAGGCACAGATATGGCAGTGTTTTCTTGCTGACAAAACATTGGCCACATCTAAAGGATGTTTTAGCATCATTAAGTGGAGCTGTGAAGAAAATAATTAAGATCATGTGCTCTCCCCAAAGGAGAGTTAACCAGAGCATCTACAGCCCATTCCTAGGCGTAGTTTCTTGCATTGGCGTTTCAGCCTACGCTTTACAAACCGGTAGGAGGTTTGTCTGTTATTCCTTTACTTAGTCTCTATTTTATTCAATAACACTGGAATCATTTGGAGGGACTCAGTGTCTGAGCAATGAAGGGCAGCAAAGATCTGAAGCTTTCTTAATTCATACTGATTTGTTTGGTTTTTTCTTTTTAAATGTGTATTGCTAGAGTAGGTGCTGTGCATTTTTTTTCTGCTTGCTTTGCATTTTCTAGTGCAATTGTTTAGGTTCAGTTGGAGCTAAGCAGTTTCACAATAATAAAGTGGTGGTGGTTGTTGTTAGAAAGGTTTATATTTTGTGATTTTTGCCTAGAGAGGCAGTAACTCGTGAACCTGCCTACAGTGGCACAGGCACGCGTTCAGGCTCCCTTCCCACTGACAGCCTTCCTCAGCCCAGCAGTAACCCAGTTACCTGGTGGTGACCAGCGGTTCTCCTCCTTCCCTTTCTTCCACCCAAAAAATGTGTTTGAATGCGCTGTTTGGCTTTCAAGAAGGATAAGTTTCCATATCTCTGCTTCACTGTGTTGACATCCTTCGTGCTGTGATGCTTGAAATACAGCTGTTTTGTTGGTGGAGTTTAAGGGATGGTGGTTAAGAGATGGGGAGAGCCCGCGGTCAGACAGCGGGTGTCAGGACAGGAGAAGCTGTGAGGTGACAGCTTACCTAGCAGAGCAATAATGACAGGACTTGGTTTTGTCCTTAATCCAAGAACAGTTTCTAGAGCTTCTCTTTTCGGAGGAATCTGAAAGGCAGGTCCGTGTCTGTTCCAGGTCACTGGCTGCTGGATTTTGATATGGAAAAATTTCTGTTGAGGCTTCCAGGTAGTAATGGTACTGAGGGTTTGAGAGAAAACGGAATTGTGGCATTGCACTTTAGAAAATAAATTGCAAATGTTTAGTAGTTTCCCTTTGTGTTAGGGAAAAATTTCTGAATCCTTACTGTTGTATTGAGATAAAAGCTGCAGAGCAACTGACACCTGGTTTTGTTGCGCAGAGCTAAGACAATTAAGAACACGGTCTCTGTGAATCTGGAGCTGACCGCAGAGGAGTGGAAGAAAAAGTACGAGAAGGAGAAAGACAAAAACAAGAGTCTAAAGAATGTTATCCAGCATCTAGAGCTGGAACTGAACAGGTGGAGAAACGGTACGTACCAGAAAATGGGAATGGGTACATGTCTTTGTATTTTTAAGTTATGTATGTTTAAATCTTATCTTAAATCACAAGAGTCATGCTAATTCTAAGCTCATCATTCAGAGTTGTAGCTCACACTTCATAATAATAGCTGAAAGGTGAAGAAGCAAAAACCAGGGAAATCAGCAGCAGCCATTTACAGAACGTACCATTTTAAACGCCAAAACTAGCTTGGTATCAGATGGAGAGAATACAGGAAGGCATCAATAATTTTTAATAATGTTAGTAATATTAATAAAGAAAAGGTAAAATGTCATTATGTTTGGGGGTTTTTTTAAAAGAACTCTGCTCCTCAGGCATGAGAATCAGTTCCGTTATGTTTGGGGTTTTTTTATAATTGAGTTTAACATTAGAATAACTAGCACAATGATTAGGAGTGTCATCTGATTAGAAGAATCACCACTTGTCTCCTTCTGTGGCTTCTAAGTGAAATTTATGCTGAGAACAACCAATTTTCTGTTTAGAAACATAGGGAATTGCTGTTCGGGGTAGATTGTAAGATCAAGCATCATACAAATTAAATAATTTTTATTTAATCTGGAATGTTGACAAACAATTTTAGCAAACCATCCTTACTTTTAATTTTTTTGTTCCACGTATTTTAAAAAAAAAAATCAACCCCCAAACTCCAAACCAACAAACAAACCCCCAACCCAAAGAAACTAACCCTGCATCCCTCTTGCACCCTGAAATCCCAACAAACCCCCAACGGTAAAATACTGCTTCTTTGGAGTCATTTTTATTTTTCTAAGCTGCTTGTCATCCAGGTCCTAAGTGTTGATGTGTCTCGCAGTTCAATAGTATGTAACTCTTGCAAACGTGAAGTATCTAAAGCGAGACCAAATCTGTGATTTAATTATTAGTCACAATTTTTTTGCACAGTCAAGTCTGGTTTTGAAGATCCTGGGCGAAATCACTACTTAAAAGATAATACCTGACCTTTATGAGTGCAAAGAATTGCTTCCTTCTTTCAGCTCCCTACGCTGTTTACTTGCCTTTCAGATGAGATCGTTACCTAATGATTGCGCTCCGTGTCTTTCTCTGGAGACTTGAGCACAGGGAACATCTCCCTTATCAGCATAGCGCAATTGCTATGGAGACGGTCGGTCCGCTGGTGGTTTTGAGGAGTGCTGGGGATTTATAACCCGCTCATGTTCTGCGTGTTTCATTCTGTGTTTTTGAAATGTGACGACTTTAATTTCCTTCCCGTTCTAGAAACATTTTTTTAGAAAAACCTGTATAGATCCTTTCTATATGCCACGTAAACAGGCCTTATAACACGCTGTCTCTATTGTTTTGTCTAAATATACACGCCTCCTCTTCCCCGTCGTCTGTCCTGCTTTTCTCATTGGCGTTCCCCAGCAATACATTCAATGCATTCAAAATACTATTGATTTCTTGTCTGAACTTCTGCAATAGCATCGTTTGGAAGGATATGCTGTCAAAGGAGGCTCTTTACAAATGAAAGCGTTGCAGAAATTACATCTTGAAAATGAAACACAAGATAGATGCATAAATATTCCATTGGTATAACTTGTTCTATAAATTTAGAAAATAATACACAAAATAAAATTGTAGCAGAAAATGGGTGTGCCCAGTTCTCACTGAAGCAGGATTTCAGCAGCCCTGTATCCACGTGCACAATTTGGGCTGTGTTTTACAGGTGGGAGGTTGTTCACGTCCAAGCATGTCTATCAAATTTAGGCTCCCCTCCTCCTTTCACCTTAACTTACGAAGTTAAGTGAAATACCACAAGGAAATGGAAATGTAAAGATTCGTTTTGGGAGGCTCCTGATGGATTCTCCCCAGCCTGAGGAGCGTTGCCACGTGTGCAAGGTCCCACGGTTTTCCTAGTCTGCTCCACTGAAATGCGACAATGAAAAATCAATTTACATTTTTCTCATTAATAGTATAAAATATCATCAAGCCATTAGCAATAGGGCAAAAAGTATTTCAAGTGTAATACTTTTATAGAGGTTAGTGGTGCTTGATTTCAAGTTATTCTTTTTCATTCTTTAAGCTTGAAAAAATTATCTTCTCCGTTAGTTGGTCATGCTCTTTCATGCCCTATTTTGTTTTGCTTTGGGGCCTGAATTAGGCTGTGGTTTTGTTTTTTGATATATTTTTCCTGTTTACTTGTTTCCCTGCCAGTAAGATAAATACTGCCTACACTGTTTTGGCAAGAGGAATGGCTAGGAAAGCTTTATGAGACTAAAATATTGTAGCTTTTCATAGAATTGGAAAAAACCTGTTTGTGCAGAAGGGTTGGATGCAACCTTCCTGCACCTTGAGCAAGGCGTGCAGCATTCAGCGGCTTGCAGAGTCTCTCACCAGACTCTAATGAGAGTAGCTTCAATTTCTGGCATGAACGCCTTGCCTGTCCCTCTTCACTGAACTGCAGCAGGCTCATAATTGCAATGCACCGACGTTACCGAAGAAAATACTCCTCGGAGAAAATGATTTTGAAAGAAAATGTGTAGGGAGAACATCCTATCAGCTATGCATAGGCAGCATCTGAAAATTGGTCTATGCTCTTTAATTTTAGATGTGACAAGGCGGAAGGTGAATCTCGTTTTAAGTGCAGCTGACTTGCTTGTTGTCCTGGTGCTCTAGCAGTTCATTATGGAGGAGGGAGAGTTGATAAGGCAGTTGGGAATCTGGAGAGGAAGACACATTTAATTGCCAGTAGGCTTTAGGCTGAAAGTCGGATTTTTTCTCTCTTTATTTACACTTCTGTTAATCCATGGAGCTAATCCCATCTACAGAGGGCTTGAGTGAAAGGGGAGCCAGGAGTTCAGTGTTTTTAATGGCAGCCATTCGAACTGTTGCCGCATTTTGCGTGTTTGTGTTTCTAACCGTGGAGAACGAATGGCCACCCTTCTGCACCTAGCTCGGCCTGTCATTTGTATGCATGGCATCTGCCTGCCTTGCATAGCTGGATACAGCCCTTCTTTCCTTTGCTGAGTCCCTCCTGGCCACTGTGAAGGACCATCCTAGGATATCCATGGTTTTGGGCAACCCTCTCTTGCTTGGATTGTAATGACCACGGATTATGTGCCTGCAGGAGAAGCTGTGCCTGAAGATGAACAGATCAGTGCTAAGGACCAGAAGAACCTGGAGCCTTGTGATAACACCCCAATTATTGACAACATCACACCAGTTGTTGCCAGCATCTCGACAGAGGAGAAACAGAAATACGACGACGAGATTGCCAGTCTCTACAGACAGCTGGATGATAAGGTGTGAACATTTGGTTTGACTCCATTCTCTGGGTGTAAATGGAAAACTAAGCCAAAATGCGTGGGGGTCTCTGTATTTCTTGAGCACCATGAACTGGAAAATGTCTCAAAGTTCAAAACACTGTCACTGCATAAAAACAGGTCTTGTCTTGTCTTGTCAGCTATCTGCTTCTGTTCCCTCTGCAGATAGTGTTTGTGGTCATTCTCTATGAAATCGCAGCCAAGTTTGCCTTTCATTTTAAGGGCTCAATACTGGCTTTTCAGCCCTCCTTTTCTTCAGTGGTTTTTGTAAATACTGTACTCCCTCAGCAAACTGTAACATCATTTCAGAGTCACAGGAGAAAGAAAAAAAAAAAAGAGAAACAGTATCTTCATGTTTTTTGTATATTTATCGTATATTAGAATTTTAAGGAAAATATATAACTATCCCTTGAGTCTCTTTTGTTCATGTTCTAGCTGTGAACACTGCCTGGAGTGCAGGTGGCTTCTTTTCTTAATTATTTGCACAGCTTGAAATACATCATTGGCACTTAAAGCTATCAGCAATACATTTACTGAGCACTTGCCATTAATAGCTTTGGCTTGCGTGAAGATAAGAAGTGGGTAAAAAAAGGCATGCTGAAACCATTGACCATTATGGATGAGAACAGCTTAAAAGGCTATCTAGCAAAAGTTTTCAGGATTGCTTTAATCTTGAATCAAAACTTGATTTTAACTTTCAATTGTAATTAGCAGGAAAATTAGCCCACTGTTTCCTTGTATGTTAATATTAAAGTTTGGCTGTTCTTGAACACCAAGGGAGGGAGTGGATAGTTGTGTTTAAGCCTTAAGTCTGATGTGCATGAGGTCTCTACACAGTCCAGTTGCACACAGCAGTATGTTGATGGCATTCAAAATAACAGTTAAGGTCTTTAAAATACTACAGCTTTTCTGTGATGGAGAATACATTCCGTAACGGTCTCTAGCTTTTACGTATTGATTAGAGAAGAAAAAAAGTCAGTCATTCTTTCACTTTCCCTCATCAAAAGTAGCAAAGCCCATTGAATTATTCTTGAGGGAACTGGCAGCAGGTTTGAGTTTCACCCTAGAAAACATGGGAAGCATAATTTGGTGCACTACTGCAGTATTACAGAAAATGAGAAGGTATTTGATCCCCAAAACAACCCAAAATCTTGCCATTTATGACTTGTTACAGTGTAGACCATTCTTATGTTATATCTGGGACTGTTCTAATATTAGCAAATGATTTGATATATTCTACTTGATAGCTGTATTTGCTATCAGAAGTTAATCTACTAACATGCTTGTCAATGAAACAAAAAATATCAATTGACTCTGATAGGGTAAAAAGCAATCATTTATCTTTGGTGAGTTCCTTTAGATGTTATTCTCTAAGGATCACAAGAAGAGATGGACTTGGTCAGGTCCCGTCCTTGGTGTGCCTCCTGTGGCTTTTTGGAGGAAGGACTCGTACAGCAGAGTCCATCATCATTTCTCGTCTGTGTTTAAGATGAGTTCCTACCATGAGGATGCTGTCTTAACAAGGAAGTTGAAATGCCAGTAAAATTAGATGTCTGGCTGTGCATTACCTGGCAGTATTTTCTTCAAGGGCTGTAATGGAGTAGGAAAATACAAATTCTGCAGTTGAGGGGGTCCAAGTTCTGTGTTGTGGTTTGAGCTTCCTCTTCAATGAATGCAGTTCAGAGCTAGCTGCAAATTGTAGTTGGTTAATAAATCTGTCTCTAGTGATCTCTCTTCAGCTGAAATTTGGGGACAGAGTGAGAGAGAGAGTGTGTGTGTATATATTTGTGTATCTATAAAACATGACACATGTTGGCAAAGTCCTGCAAGTTATAAGGTGCAACTCTGACACATCAGTGTCTTGTTTACCATCAGGGACACCCCTGCTTAGGTATATACTAGAGACAACTGCATGTATGCATTGCTTTTACTATGTAGCTCTGTGTACGTATATTTTTCTCTTCTCTCGTACCACTCAAATGTGCACAAGGTTTGCTACGGCATTATTCTTGCTTCTTTTCTAGAAAGGGGAAGTAAAAGTGACCAAATGAGAACTGTGGAAAGAAACTAAAAATCTCCAACCCTATTTCATTGCAGGATGATGAAATCAACCAGCAGAGCCAGTTGGCTGAAAAACTAAAGCAACAAATGTTGGATCAAGAGGAGGTAAAAAACTAAACAAATCAAAAAAGCCCTTACATTTTGCTTATGAGACTCTTGTTTAGTAATTCTGTCACAGTTGTTGGCTAGATATGCTTATGTTAGCTGGCTAAAATTCAGTAGGTAAGAGAAACCTGTGTGACAGCTAGGTTTAAACTTCAAATTTCATAATAACCTCAGAGGAGCATTAAGCCTCGGTAACTCCTTATAATAGCATACCGTCCTGCTGGGAAGTGATGCTGGAGATACCAAGGTAGGAGCATGGCCAGTATTTTTCAACTTCAAATGTGTTTTTCAATATGTCTGTATCCTTTCAGGTATCCAGACACTATGGACTGTAGGTAGTTAACAGAATTCCTGGTTAGACAGTATAAAAATTACTCCTGGTAATAAATTACTGATATTCATTATTTTGGCATGGGCAATTAGAGGCAGTACTGAGAGAAATCTGTGAGACTGAAAAATTGATTATTGGTGCTGCCACAGATTTGCTTTAAAATCTTGGATTACTCACTTTAAACGTTTTATTTCATTGTTTCTGTCCATAAAATGAATGTTTCTTGTTTTTAAGGTGGGGAATATGATCACTACTTACAGTCAAGTCATTTCCTTATCGGTCATTTGTTTACGAGAGGTTTTGATAGATGTGAAATCCGGCAATAACACCAAATTACCAAGTTCCCCAAATGTCGCTGTGATATTTCTTAGAAGATGGTTTTATGCTGGTTTTCAAACTGCGGGAACCAGTTTGGAGGAGGACCATTCAGACCAAGCATATAATCCTGGTGTGAGAGTTTGCCCATCATTAATGTTCCAAAACGTTGGTCTCTTCGCACGAAACACTGGTGTGATTTCCTTGGAGCGTGCCTCTCCCAGCTGCCCAACTTCAGTTGAAGTACAGCATTATGCTGGCTGCTTTTTTTGGGTGTGAAACCTCTCTTGTAATTGAAAAGTGATTCTGTCCATGCCTTAATCAAGCCCTCAGAAAGGGCTTCCCAGGTTTGGCTCCTTAGCAGGGAAAGAACAATGTATGAAAATGTCTGTTACTCGTCACTCATGACTTACCTGCCACCTTTGGGGTCTTATCCTCACTGAAGGAATTACCACCTTTATTTTACTCCATGATTAAGCTCTTCATTCACTTGCCGCAACTTTCTTTTGATTACTGTGTGTTACGTGCTACCCATGTCTGTGGCTATACAAATGTAAAAGAATTTTATGCATTCTCAGCAACATTATTTTCTGATGTGTGTTACGCCATCTCACTTCTCCCATTTTTTGTACATCAGTGTTTTCACCTAAAGCTTATTTTTCTGTGACGATTTTTCTTGTGTCTTATTTTTTGGGTGATGTGCATTCCTTTCTTTGTGTTAGATATTTGGGAGCATGCTGTACGCTGGCTTATTCCCCACCCTCTTTGTGTTCCATACTCAGTATTCCATCTGGAAGATGAATCAAGTTTTCACTGGCCTCTAATCCTTGCCTTACAGACCACTTTTCCCTCTTTTTTGCACATGTCCTAGTCTAGCTTTGCTGACTTACTGAAATCTCTGCAGCTGGTGTTGCACCACTTATTCAGAAAGTATAGCTGGTTCATCTGATAAGCTTGTCCATCTCTTACCTTTGAAAGCTACCGCGATATTTTTGTTTTCTTCTTTATGGGAACTGAATTAATTTTTCAAAGTTTTATCTTCCACACGTAAGCTTCACCAGCGCTGCGGGAGCGATCTACCTGTTATGTCTTAGAGCCTGTGATTAGCTCCGTGATAGATGTGCTGCAGAGCAGCTGCCTCACTCTGCTTCCCCCTAATTAACCAGACTACTTTTTCCTGCTTGATTAAGCTAGCAGATTAATTATAAATCTAAGGCCTGCCACAGATGGCATTGTGCTGATACTGGTATCTTTTGGTACCTTTTCACCGGTGGCTGTTTCTTAGGGTGTGTGTTTTGGAGGGGATTCTGAATCTTCCACCCTTGCATCTTGTGTGCTGTGAACACATCCGCGAAGTGCTGCAGCCACCGTCTCCTTCCCTTTGTTTGCGACTGATCGGTATAAAGTGTTATTAATAGCCTTTTAAAATCTTGGTATATTTTTCCACGTTATATCAACAAGAATCTTCTGGGGAGCTGTGTTTATGCTGTAGGTGATACATAACACTTCCCTTTACTTGAAGTCACAGTAATATTCACACAGAAAATTTCTTAAGTAAATGCAAATAATGGTTCCATCTGTGTTTAGTAGAAAGATTATTTTAAGCTATTTTGTTGTTTAAATATTTACATGCCATCTGGCTTTGGCAATTCAGTGAGTTTTTCCGTAACGTGAGTGCACTTCTGAGGCTGCAGCATTACCAGCGAGATAAATTTCCCTTACATCTGAATCCTCTCTTCGCCACTTTGGGCACGTGCCAGTGTCTGAAGCTGCCTGGTTGGTTTCCTATTTTCCATTAGCACTCTGAGCCAAAAAAAGTGATGTCTTCTCTGACATTCTCCTTTTAGGTGGTCCATTTTAGAGAGACGTTTCTATTTAGCTTGGGGTCTCACACTCAACTTCTTCATGGCTGGGGAGCCAGTGGGCAGTGGTGGGACAGGTCAGGAGAAGTCCACCCAGCACACTTCAGTAGTGCAGATTTTGTTCTACTGTCCAAGAAAGCTGCAGTACAGTAATATTATACTAACCCATACGTAGAAAGGCTTGGAAATAAGTGAGTTTTGTGAATGACTGTCCAGTCTTTGCTATTAGGATGACCTGGGAGTGTGAATGCCTTCTTGTACCTCATGCACTAAATTTTGTATGTTATTGCTCTACATTTTATGTTTTTATGCTATGTAAGGCCTGATTTTGTTATTATTCTCAGAAGTACCTTATTAGCAATAAATGTTAGGTGGCACCTTTTATTTCTTTTCACATCATTCTGCAGTATATCACTGCAGCTGAGTCTGGTTTTGTGCTAAGAACCCAATAGCTGAACTTTCGAGACTTTAACATTTGAATGAAGATGGAGTGGTGCAAGGGCAAGGGAGAGGACCATGCAACTGACCTCTTACAATCAGCACTGTCACTGAAACTTCAGCATCTCTCCTAGTAGCATGCAAAGAGTAAATTTAATAAGTTTTACAAATTGGAAATACTCACTAGTGTGTGTGAAGTCTGTATTTTCTTCTTTAGTTAATATTTTGCCTCAGCAAATATGAGCAGCTAATCTGTCTTCAGCATCATGCTTCAGATGATAACTAAAAATAATCATCATAGGTTTGCTTATCAAAATATTCCTCTAATGCCACAAGATCTTTGAGGCTGCCTCAGAGAGCCCTTTTACTTGGTTCAGTTCAAAGCTGTGATTCTGTGTTTAAACACTTTACTTTGTGGTATTTTTTTTTGTCCTAGCTGCAGGATTGGATTGAGGGCAGAAAATTTATTTGGAGCTATAATACTGTTTAAAATAAGTTTCTCTGCCTCAGTCTTGTGTCATAACAGGATTTGATTAAGATTTTTCTTTTCATTGAAATTCAGAGCCTTTTTTGCTTCCTTCCTTTGCTTCCTGCTTCCTAAATACATTTATGCTGAAACTGATGCTGTTTCTCGTAGAGTAGCAGGATTTCTTCTCTCCTGCTTTCTCTGTCACGCACACATGTTTGTGTGCTCACGCTTTCTTTCTCTCTTTGTCTGTTCTTGCCCTTTTCAGTGTTGTCTTTGAATGATTTCTTGGGTGACTTAACTCTTCTGTGATATCTGGTTTCCAGCTGTTGGCCTCCACTAGGAGAGATTATGAGAAGATTCAAGAGGAGCTGACCCGTCTTCAGATTGAGAACGAAGCAGCAAAAGATGAAGTGAAAGAGGTCCTTCAAGCCCTGGAAGAATTAGCTGTCAATTATGATCAGAAATCCCAAGAAGTGGAGGACAAAACAAGAGCCAATGAGCAGCTGGCTGACGAGCTGGCACAGAAGAGTGTAAGAGCAAGCGGTTTATAGTGCTGGTTCCCTCCTCGCCCCCTAACTCTGCACCTCCCCTAAAGATTTCCGTAGGGGTTCCTGGAAAACTGCTATGCCATTTCAGGAATCTTTCAGATACTGCTGCCAAGCATGTTGTTATGTGGTTTAAAAATTGAAGTAGCAGGGAAGCTGTTAAAAGATCCTTATTTGCCATGCTACCCTCTCTCTTCTATCTTAATTAAATGATAAAATTAAGGTAATTCAGAAACTGCTCTATGGAAGCTGATGGCAGATTGTGGCTGCGTTGCAAACTCTGTATTTTGCACACCATAGCAACTGAACTGAATGTGAGAACTGGCCATTCTGTGTTTTGGTTATTTAAAAACTGTATTATGCCAAGAAAGATGTGCAAGTCTGCTTTATGCAAATTGCAGCATTTTGTGTTTTTCTGGACTCTGCGCTGCGGAGCAGGAGTTTTGTACAGAGTCAGGAAATCTCAAAGAAGAAATCAGAAAAAATTCAGCTTTTTCAGCTGATGTGTACTGATATTAAGGAAAAACTCTGATCTGAGAAAAATCAAGATTGGCTTACTAGCTTAATACGTCCTTGTTCCTTAATTCATTACACAAACTGAAGAAGCTGTTGTTATCAGGTCTGTTTTCATGGAAGACCTCGTTACCCACTTCAGTAAAACAGATTACTATGAAATCCATTTGAAAAAATTGAATTTTATATCCTTCTACGCCTGTTTCTCTGTGATTAACCTTCTTTGACATGTATTATGCAAATAAGATTCTTACCGGATTTACTACATTTAATAGATCTAAAGTAGCCTTGTTAGCAAGTGAGTTGTGAAAGTGGATTATGGCAAGGTGGAATTGTTAGCGTCAGTACATTGATCCAGTAGGCATGTTCAGGAAAATACAAGACAATACCATGTAACCTAGATATCCGAGAAGAACTGATGCCCAATCTGCAGAGGGGAGGGTAACTTTTGCTTTTAAACCTTTTCAGAGTGCCCTGACAGCGACCCAGAGGGAGCTGGGCCAGTTGCAGGAGCTTAGTAACCATCAGAAGAAGAGAGCTACAGAAATCTTGAACTTGCTGCTTAAGGACCTGGGAGAGATTGGAGGTATCATTGGTACTAACGACGTTAAAACAGTAAGTTGGCTATCTTTATTGCTTGTCCCCCACACCTCCTGCAATATAAAAATACTTGACATGGAATATGTGTGATACAGCAGTCCTTCTCCCAGGACGCTGCTGTTTAAATCCTGGTTAGAGCACAGAGTAAAATACTGAAGAGATCTTTGTCTGGGTCGGAGATGGTCAGTGTCTGTGCACACAATTACCACTTTTATTCCCAGCTCAGTGTTTGGGGCCAGACTGATGCAGCCCATCTGTGTGTTGATGCATTTATTAACGGGGGGGACTGAGTTCCCCCCAAAACAATACACACGTAGCCCTGCTCCGTCGTTAGCTGGCATGACGCAGTATTCCCAGAACCTGAAGAATCTTTATTGGTGAGATTTGGCTTCTGGCTGGCTACCTTTTTGTTTGAAGTTTGTCCTAAAACTGTTATGTAGCTGAAGGTGAACAGCTCTCAAAGCCAGAGGTCTGTACTGATGGCTCTCCAGGGCACCTGAATGAAAAGATCTGCACGGAAATTGTGTTTTCTGCATTCTGGTGTTTATGACCTTTCAGGAGTGGCTGGCTTCATCAAAGAGCCCACGCTTTCGTGTGTGTTTCTGAACACAAGATGCTTTAAAATTACTGATTTCCAGCACTGGTAAATTTATTCTAGATACCACATAAATAATTACATGACAGTAAGACCAGCTTAACTTTTGCATATTGACTAATGACCTTTATAGAGGAAAAATTGCAGAGGATCATCTTCCTCTGAAGAAAGACGGTAAGAACGGGAGTGAGGGTGGTTGAAGTGGCAGAAACCTTGGTATCTGAATGTGCCTGGAGATGGTGCAAATTTTGGCCAGCTTTGCTTTGAAATTTGCCTTTTGTCTGGCTCTTGGGGTTACAGATATGGTAGAGGAGGTAGCTACTCACTTTGTCACACTTCTCCTGTTGTAGATTAACAAAATGCTAAGTCTCGGAGAAGATATTTGTATGGTCATTGCTAAATGGCACATCTCTGATGGAAGGTTTTCATGGCCTGGAAAATCTTCCTGGTGATATTAATGCCATCTTATCTGTCCATTTAAAACCACATGAAAAAGAGCAATTGCTAAAACTGGATAAGAAATTAATTTTCAAGATATATGTAAATTCCTTGCAATGCACACTATTTTCTTGCTTTTAGTTCAGTTCTCAGTTTTTGAGCAATGAACTTTCCTGAACATTCAAAGCTAAAAGTGAGTATGTGTGGCTGGAGTGCTTTGAGTTGACTAAGAGTTGTTGATATCCTGCTAAAGCCCCCTTAGATCAACAGATGCTCCAGCCCGCTCTTACTGCAGAGGACATGATCCCTGTTGTCTGATGTGGTTACGCAGATGCCAGGACCACAAGACCAGACTTTGCTAGATGTTACAGCAACCTCTGGTGGCCATTGTAATAGGAACTATAAAAGGAAATCTTTGAAAATGGAGGCAGAGGCTGTTTGATACAAATTTTTATAGTAACTAAGATGTCAGCATTTTACAGGACAGCTGTCAGTGTAAATAAGGCCAGATTGAGAAGCTTTTAGAAGAATAATTTCAAATTTGTTGGCACTTAGCATCTTCTCAAAGTGTGCCTAATTTCAGACCAGACTGAGGGTTTTGGAAGCAGTCTCATTTTTTAGGCTGTTGGGAGAAGATACAGCGCATGTTACCTTCCCCTTGGCAGTGCTGGGAAAAAGGCGAAAAGCAGACGAATTTGCTAGCCATATGCTTGCGAGAACCTTCATAGCTCGTCAGTGTGTTATATGAATTAAGTAGTTGAAGAATAATCATGAAGAGAAAGACATACAAATAAAAGGCACCACCTTAAACCAGGGAAGGAAATGATGTATAAATAGAATTATTTAGAGATGAGAGCGATTACTTTTCTCTTGCCAGGTGAGATTTCCAGACCCATGTCCATCTTACAGCTCCTTATTGAAGAAGCACAACGCTTCAAGAGGAGACTTCTTTAAGAAGTACTTTGAAAATGCCCTTTAGCTTTTAGCAGTTTGAAAGAAGGAAAATTTCCTGTGCTGGTGACATGAGAAGGTTCTCCAAAATATGCTCCTGCCATGATGGCGGGCTTGGTTACTTTAGATACTGAACCACTAAACTGATGAAGCACTGTGAGCACAAGCCTTAATTTCTCACTTTTGAGGCTTATCAGTGAAGACTGTAACAAACAGAGTGGTATAACGTGTTTAAAGGTGACCTGAAGGTCTGTGGGTACTCCTTGAGGGCTGCTGTGCTTTCACAGAGGCTTCCTAACTCTAGACAAGAGTTTCACAGCAGGAAGACTGCTTTGCATTGACTTACCTGTAAGAACCACACCTTGAAGACTGCAATCTTCTGTGTGTTTAGTTAGCAGATGTGAACGGGGTGATTGAGGAGGAGTTCACCATGGCACGGCTTTACATCAGCAAGATGAAGTCTGAGGTGAAGTCTCTGGTGAACCGCAGCAAGCAGTTGGAGAGCGCCCAGATAGACTCCAACAGGAAGATGAATGCCAGCGAGAGGGAGCTTGCAGCTTGCCAGCTCCTCATTTCACAAGTATGTTTGTTCCTTCCTTGTCCTTTTGCAGGAAGGTTTGATGACTTTCTCAGCCTCCTTCCTCATGAAATGTGTGTGCTAGGAACAAGAAATGAGACTTAAGGGAGCAGAGTGGTTTTTCTCGTCTGTTTTGTTGTTTTTTCTCTCTTCTCCCATTCCTCCCCATCAGATCCTCCTTGGAGTGATTTCCTCGGCATGAATTTGTGTCTTGTGCCTTCACTTTAAAAGCAACCTGAGAAAGGAAGCAGTGATTATATGGTTCACTAGCAAAACGTTCGGAGAGCCCCCTGTATCTGGTCTGTTAGTATGCTACCAAGATAACTAGGCAGCAATATATAAAATAATACATTATGGAAAACATTACTGTATAAGATAGAAATCCAGATGGTAGGAGGGCTTCACAGTAGGTGGCAGTTACAACCAGAGATGCTTGCTGCAGCCTGCTGCAGGAGAGGGGGCGAACTGCTTTGACATGCTCAGCTGCTTTGAAGTGGACATGTGAAGGGGAGGAGACGATACAGTTTATTGTATTTCATTTGCTACCAGTTAGTCTAAGAAAACCTGGAACAAGGAACAAGGATAGCCTCTTGTCCTGCAGCAGAATGTCTTTATTAAGTTCTACTTAGTAAAGCTGTCGCTGGAAGCGTGCTTCTTAGTATTACAGGGAGGCTGGAGTCCTGAGGCTGTCCAGAAACGTTAAGTAAAAACTATACTTTTCATCCTGTCTTAAAGTAGACCCTGGGCTGGCATGGCCACTGAAGGAAGTCATCCTGCCAACCTGTGCTGCTCCCTTTCCTTGGCAACTTGCATTAGTAAAGCAGATTAAGGCTTGACTTGCAAAGTAGCTGTATGCATGCTTCTGCTGGCAGGAGAGGAGCAGGGACACAGGGCTGGGAGTAAAAGTCTCGGCAGCGGGCGGTGGGACGGCCTCTTTCAGCCGTGGTGTTGGCTTACGCTGACCCGGTGAAGGAGTGAGTGGAAGGCAGCCGGCTGCCTCTGTGGGGTTGGTGTTTGTCCTCTTACACTGTAGTCACACTGGAATCACTGAGCACTTCAATGCTCAGAGCTTGTCACAAGCACGACCTAACTGCTGTCCTCAGTACCTATTTACAGACAGGAGACTGGAGGTTTAGGATTTGAGAGGCTTATCCAAGTATTGTATGTTCATGTGGTGAAGAAATGAAGCAGAAATACTCTTAAGCGGGTGTTCACCTTGCCTTGGCATTCTGGAGGTTCTACAACTAGAGGCCCGTCTGTGGGAAGAAACCGGGTGTTGTTATGCTCAAAATCTTTTTAATGAGCAAATGCACCTTTCTCTATAAAACCCCCAAGTTAAAAAAAGAAAAAAAAAGCTGCAAGGCAGGTCAGGAAGAGCTCAGAGAGAGCAATCCTGGCAAACCTCAGTCCTGAGGCCTTGCAAACTCAGTACAAAGCTGGTGGCCTGTTACTACCAGCGACAATGCTGTATCACAGGGCTGCACAGTTACGGTGTTAAGCTGAGCCATAAAATGGTGATCACTGCTGCGTGCGATACCAAGAGTCTCCGTTTTGGAGCCGGAACATTTGGAGCCAAGCTGGGAGTTGACTAAATTTCTTGTCAGGTTTAGGAATCTATTGCAGGACTTATTGCCCAAAGCGTGCAACTCGGGCAAGCGCCCTTCCCTTCCTGGAGACCTCAGTGCCGGGAGGGTCTGAACTATTTTAGTTCCTGCTAAGGATTACTCCTCTCTAAGTCTGATCTTTACAGTAGCACCAACCCCGAGGTCTCAACCCCTGTCTGCCAAGGTGAACTTTAAAAACAGTGAACCACAAATGCTTCAGTGGCCTTATTAATGGGATATAGTGATTCCCAGACAGTATCTTTATTTTACCCCCAAATTAGAAAATTTTTAATTCGATTTTTGATATTTTCAATACATGCTTCACTATTTTCTATTTAAACGCAAACCCTTCTAGCTCAAAAGAATGTCAGCAAGAAACAAATTGTCAGAATGGCTGGTGAAAGTTGATCTGAGCTTCTGCAGGTTGAAGCATCCAGGAAGCCACCTCAGAAGCCCAGTGTTCAGCTGGTTTTAGAAAGCTGCTGCTGTTTGTTTAACACCAAGTCATGAGCTTCCCATGATGTTTTGGAATTACCATCTGCGCTGTTCAGTATATGTCTTGGGGTACTAAGTGTGACCTTTAAAAATAACAAGCTGTGGTACTCACATGTCATTGCTATTTCCCGTGTCTTTAAAGCATGAAGCAAAGATCAAGTCCCTTACAGACTACATGCAAAATATGGAGCAGAAGAGAAGGCAGCTGGAAGAGTCACAGGACTCTCTCAATGAAGCACTTGCCAAATTACGTGCTCAAGGTACAACATTGGGTCTTGTGGTCGTCATCTCTTTTACTAACTATATCTTAGAAAATTCAGTGTTCGCTGAAGAGTATGTAGAGTAGTCCTACAACATTTTATTGTCTGCTTGGCATTTTGCGGTGAAGACATAAAATTGTGATTCAGAATATTTAACACATTGCACTTCCTTGTAGGACATTATGCTTCAGATAAAACCAGAATTATCCCTTTCAGCCTAGTCCTTTCACAAAATACAGAGAAACTTAATTTTTCAAGAGAATCAAAAACTTTATGACAAGCTTCATCTTGTGCTTTAATGATGTGAGAAATAAAAAAACCACAAATACTTCAGCTAAACAGCACCGATCAATCTTGCTAAATCTCTATTCTGTAAAATTCTTGGATATCTGTCTAATTTCAGTTGTCCCTCTGGCAAATGCCCTGCCCCATTCAAAAGGAAGCTGCTTCCCTTAGGATCGAGTAAAAGGTGTGTCTATCCTAGCTCCTATATAGGATCCAGCTGACTTCATTTTAAGAATTGCTGTTTTTTCCTCTTCTGATTTAATGTGGAATATCAGAAGCAGTTCTAGCATCATTGCTAAGCTCCTGTTTTATGTACAATTACAACATGACCTAGTAGCCTTAACATTATTCTGGATTTCTGCACAAGCGATCTTCTCTCACACCGGGAGCAGCAGGTGGTGACAAGATTTAATTTTTTTTAACATCTCCTGCATTTTTTAGAATAGAATTTTTATTCCATCTCCTGATCTTCCTATCCCACTCATAAGAAATGACCTGATTCTGGAGGCCACCGTTTCCCAGCAGAAAGTGAAAGGGGACAAGGAGGATTGTGACACTTAGGGTTGTAAGGAGGCAAGGGTAGGTTGGAAAGGTGCTGGGTGGGCTGAAGACAATGTGGGCTGTTAGTAAAGGAAAAGGGGGTTTGGGCAGTATGGTCACAGGTTGGATACTGCAAACCATGGCTGTTTCTGCCCCTCCAAAGCTGTCTCCACTGATCCTGCTGCCCCCTGCAAAAAGAGGAACTGTTTTTTTTTTAAATGGCTGGATGTAGCACGTCCTGGAACTGTGCCGTTAATTCTCAACTGTCTCCAACTTTAAACAGAAAAAATGCACGAAGTCAGTTTCAAGGATAAGGAGAAGGAGCATCTGACCCGGCTTCAGGACGCAGAGGAGATGAAGGTAGTACGGTGTGCTGCAATTTTAGAGGGCGTTTCCAAGAGAGATCATTCATTAAGCTGATAATTAGGGTGTAATTTTGTCTTCCTGTACACATTGTGTGCTTTTAGAGAACACTTCCAGCCTCTGTCAGAATTGCCAGCCTCTGTTAGAAAACCTGACCTCATGTCATTGACCTTCACAATGTGAAATTAGAGAACTTGCTAGTATTGAGGTTGTTGACCAGATGATGGAAAAAGTAAGTTTTAGTCTGAACATCTGAGGTGAGCACGTCTTCTGAGACCAGTTTGTAAGCTAAGCCAACTTCAAAGGGTGGAGAGGTTCAGTGGACTGTGTTTGCTGAATTGGAGATGCCTGGGTTCCTCAAATTACATGAACAGAGGACCAAAATGTAAGACCCAGTATATTGCATCCATAGTTGAGAACAGTTTTGTTATATATGATTGAAAAATGATATTGATTCTCCTCTATGTTACTCTAATTTTTTGCCAGTGGAACCCTGCTGAAAGTCAATTTGCAAAGTAATGAATCAGGCTACTGGGGTTAATATAATTTAGGTACTAAAAAATTTGATAAAAAAGAGTCCACTTTCCCAAATAATTTGGCAAGAATTCTGACTATCTCCTAGAAATAATAATGAAACATAAACCTGTTTTCTGGTATTTTCTTCCTTTGGAATGCAAAGAAATGTTAGGCAATAATGTGTGAGTTGTGTTCCTGATGGGGTTGCAAATTTCAGAAAAGGAAAAATTCCATTTTACAAGGATAGTAATAGAGGTTTGTCAGCTTCAGAACTTTTACCTCCATTATAAAAAGTTAAAGTATTAAAACAGTTGTACAGTTATTCCTTACACTTGGAAGAAGAAAAAAAGCAAATTTTTTATTAGCAATCTAAAGAGATGCATTGAGTTTTTCTTACTATTTGAGATATATCTAACCCTAGAATTTAAGTAACAGGGCTGTGGATAAACAATTCTTGGGGAGGGTGTTTCGGGTTTTAGTTCTGTCGGAGGTATAGCTGTACACATATTTTCTTGGTGAATAAACAGGTGAAATAATAGAGGACTGGTAAAAACAGTGTCACTCTTGGCACTTGCTATGCTAAGACCCTGGCTTTCACGTGCGGTAGATTTTGCAAGAAATTGAGTAGAAATTGGTGTACATCTGTTGCTAAAAACTGTCTGAATTAAATGCTTGGATTGAGTAGATGCAGAGTTTTGTAATCATAGAAAAATCTCCCAGGCAGATTCCTGAATTAACCTG